CACTGTTCACTAATACAGATTTTACAGTATAACCCTACTTATAGAGGGTTACATCCCAGTAATCCCTTATAACTTGAAAATATCTTAAGTCAAAAGTAAATTTAATAAACCTAACATCATAGCTTAGCCTAACATACCTCAAATGTGCACAGAACATTGTTATTAGCCTACAGTTGGGCAAAATCATCTAACACAAAGCCTAGTTTATAATAAAATATCAAATACCTCATGTAACTTATGTAATAATTATTAAAAACAAAAAATGGAAGGGTTGCAAAAAACAAAACAGGTATGAATACATGTTTCTGGTTGTTTATCCTCATGATCTCATGGCTGACTGGAGCTGTGACTCATCACCACTGCCCAGCATTATGAGACAGTATCATACTGTGTATCCTACCCCAGGAAAGGATTACAATTCAAAATTTGAAGTATAGTTTCTATTGAATGCATATAACCCTTGCATCATCACAAAGTTAAGATATCATTATTCAAACCACTGTTAAGTTGGGGACCATCTGTCATATTTTCTAACCATTTCTATATGAGGACACTCATATACGTTTAGAGAACTACATATGTAGTAGCTGAGAACACAGGCTACAGCCAGACTTCTATTCTGGCTGGTCCACTTAGTGGCTATGGAATCTTGAGTCAACTTCTTAACCTCTTCAGGTTTCAGTCTCCTCATCAATAAAATGAGAGTAGGAAGTCTAACATCATAAGATCCTTGGGAAAATTAATCAATTTCAATACAAAAGGTGCTTACAGTGATACATATAGTAGGCATTCTGTAATTAATAAATGGGATATATTTTCACAGCACAGAAAAAATGGCCAGTTGATTCTGATAAACCAAAGCAAGAATTGTCAGACTTTCTAGAATCCTACAGATAGTTTTTTGTAAAGATGTTCACAATTTACCTGACTGGTTTGTCATCATGGACTTATGGATTTATTCAACAGATATTTCTTGAGAGATAACTATATGCCCTGTGCCAGCAGCTGAGAATATAAAAAGGAATGAGGTGTGGTCCTTGCCACCATAAAGTTTACAATCAAGTGGTGGAGATAGACATATTCACATAATACAACACAGAGAGTGGATTTAGATGGGGCACAAGAAAGGAGTTAACCCACATCAAGGAGCCAAAATGATATATGTACCCAAACACCTCTGAATGGTGGCACTGGGCAGTCAAAACTTATATATGATACAAAACTAGACTCATCATACCTATGAGGCTCCATTTCCACTGACGACAGAAGCAAAACCTAGATCCTATTTCAAAGTAATTTACACCTTTCTTCTTTAAGCTTAATCTCTTCTGGGTAGTCAAATTCCAGGGTTTCCCCCAACATCATTCTCCTGTCCCTAAGGGACTTATTAATTGTCCTGACATTAGACAAAGACTATCTGGCTCTTGCTTAGTGTCTGAGAACCAACCACATCCATCAACTGCACCAAACTCTGTGATGCCGGTATCTGTGGTATGATTCCTTAGCATAGAGGTGACAGCTTTCAGGTAGCTTGGTTTCTCTGCCAGTAGCCTCAATCTCTCACCTCAGCACTCATATACAAAACCGACATTCTGAGATTTAGCTACATGCATCCACATGCGGCCCTTGCTTTGGACTACCCAATCCATAATTTCCAGTTAAAGGTGTGGCAGCTTCCTGGCAGACAGGCTATTTTCTAATTCTTAAACAGTGTCCTTTGCTTCAAATTTTAAGAACTTTCCTGAATCTGAAGGACAACTTGAGAATGGGCCGACTCAGGCCTGGTTATCTTACACACACATAACACCATAATTTCTGTTCTACCAAGGATGTTCCTCTTAATCATCTCCATTCAGAATTTGAGGCAAGATGTGAGAAGCAAGTTCCCTTTAATCCTTGATGTTAAAGTCAGGTGAGGTCTCTAGCCCACCGAGGGCCAGGAACCAGACCCAATTCAGGACTCAGGATTCTTGCTTTCTTCTTACTCTTTCTCTCCAGGTTCCTCCTGACCAGTTTTGTTTGTTTTGTTTCTTTCCAATGTATTGGAAAATGAACTTTGTGCTCCACTCTGCATATTCTGTGTTCTGTGGCTTATAGTAAATTGTTCTTCCTTCAGTCCTGTAACTTCTTAATATTTTAAAGGAATAGTTAATGTTTAAAGCAAAGCTTCTGGTTTCTCTTTCAACGAATCTAGGTATTACAAGTGAATGCCTTGGCTTTTCACAACTGTTGTCTCAGAAATTAGCTTCAAGAACATGTTTTGGAATTCAAAAACTGAACATTGTCTCCTTTGTTCTTAGCTGCGTCCTGCCCTCCCCCTGAAGCAATGGATATCATGACTCAGTGGGCAGAACTATAAAGCCAATGAACTAAAGGAAATTAAAAATATAGAAGAGAGTTTCAAAATCATGCCTTCTTTGCCCCAAAATTTTAAAAAGAAAATTAATTCCAAAAGATCGGGTAACAAAATAGCATTGAGTACTTCTGTTCTCCAATATACCTTCGCAATCCTGTGGCCTAGAGCATGTCATAGGAATATAAAGCGTTCTCAAAACGCAAAAACGTTCTCAAACAGGTGAAGCTGTAACATCACCCTGATTCCAGAGTGGGTGAACATTCCAACTGCAGCAAAAAGAAGGCTTTGCCACTCCCTGCAATAAGCAAGGTTGTCATGGAGGTGAGGGGAAGGACAATGGGGGAGGTTGATATAAATCACAGAAACTGTGGATTAAAAAAAAAAAAAATTCCTGTGTGACTGTCCATGAGCTGATCATTCAAAATTACCTAGCTATAGTTTCCACTAACAACCTTAGACTTTAAGAACCATTGTTCTAGCTCTCTACAATTAGCTAAATGTGTTTCTGCTTTTTTCTTTTTCTTTTTTTTTTTTTTTTTTTTTACTTTCTCTATGAAGTAGTTACGGGAACCAAATTTCCATTTGAAGAATCCAAGGCCCTCTGACTTTCTTAAAGCCAAATAGTGCTAGTGATAGAAAACAAGTTCAGACCTCCACACTCCACATTGAAGGGGCTATTTACATTCTTTATCCTTATAAATGCTGCTCCCTAATTCTCTTCTTTTCTTAAAATCATTCCCCATTTTCATCCCATGGCTTATAATTATTTGCTTATGCTGTTTATTCTTCCCAAATATCGACAGACTGCAATTATCACTAATTCATGCAAGTTCCTTCCCACACAGTGTATTGCATGGCCTGCTCATCCTGAATGTCAAGTCATCAGCCATTTCATCTGTATGATTCATCTGTCCCCTGAAATCACCTCTAATTTTGAGGAAGCTTGCAGTCTTTACAGAACTCACATGAGTTCTTTTAGTTACTGTTCATTCCCTAAAGAAGATACTCTTTTATCACTTTCCAACTCCCACTCAAAGTATCTAATGTCTCAAATCTTCCACTGCCCAGGTCATTCCCCCTAAGACTCTCCTTTCCCAGGAATGCCGTATGTGTAAGTCAGATCTCACCACCCATCATCTTAGCAAAATGTAGCACCAGCTATTTTAAATTAGCAAATTAAAAGTAACAGCTCTATAATAATTAACTTCCACTGCATTGTAACCCCAAAATTTAATGGTTTTAAAAAACCATTTATTTAGCTGACAATTCTGCAGGTCAGCTGTCTGGGCTGTGCATAGCTGCACAGTTCTGGTCTTGGCCGGACTCAATCAGTGCATCTGTACTCAGCTGCCAGGTCAGCTGGGAACCAGTTGGTCTAGGATGACCTCAGCTGGAATGGCTGCCTGGACTTGTTCACAAGGCAAGAGAGCAGAGGGAAGATATAGGCTTGGAACTGATACACCATCATTTTTGTCACATTCTATTAGCCAAAGCAAATTCTAAAACCAGACAAGATCCAAGGATTGGGTAAAGCGACTCTTGATATGAGATGCTGCAAAAATGCAATGAGGTGATTTTTTTTTTAAGCAAACTACCAAAATATCTCTGGCAAAAACTGGTCCAACCACAAACTTTATTAAGTTTGACTACATGACCTACTCTGCTAGGCACCCTTATGTGAATATGTATTTAACTATTTCCTAACCAACGTATTTACTTGGCAAAAGGAAATGATCTAACTAAAAGGAGTTTAACTCCATTAAGTTTGCCCAACGTTACTAAGGTATCTAATGCTAGGCACGGTGCTAGTCATGAAAATATATAGGCAAATAAGAATATTGTTACCATTAAGAAGCTTGCAGTCTAGCAGAGGAAACAAATAGACAAATACATGCAATTATAGATACTTGGGGTTACAAAGAAAGGGTATATGACTCAGAAAATTTCCTGGAGGAGGTTATAGAATGTCAGGTATCAGAGAAACCTAGAAGGTTTAGAAGTGCTGCATTCTATGTGTATGGACACATAACTGTGAATCCATAGCTCCCAGCTTTGTGAGATGGTCAAGACAGTACTTCATGGAGAAACTTGGGTCACCATGAATAGCATATCTGATACCAGAGATTTTCAACAAGGTAGCGTTGGACAGATTTAGCCCACCAGTCCCCCACTTAAGGATCCTAGGTAAACCTTAGTTTTTGTTCTCTACCAAAAGTATCAGAGAGTCAGCATTGCTTGTTTTCTGTCTCCCCAGCACTCCTCACTATTCAATCTATGTTCAACATCCATGTTCCTGTGTGTTTAGCATTTACAATCCTAAAATCTAGTTCATCCTCAATACTGAGATGTGGTTTCCATGTCAGTTGCCTCAGGTAGTTTTCATCCTATTCTTCAAGTCCAATACCAGTCATACATTAATTTATACAATAATTATTTATCAAGGACCAGCTATGGCCTAGAACTACTACATGATGGTAAAAAATATAATTATAGCCTCTATCCTCATGACTCTCATAATCTGTAGAGAGAGACTGATATTAAAACAGTAACTGCACAAGTGATTTTCAATTACGTTTATATGTCCTGTAAAAAAAATTATATTAAAAGGTACAGGAACAAAACATGAAAGATCTTAATTAGTCACCTGACAGATGAGCAGAAATTGACCCCAAAAGAGAATTGCAGGGACCCAGAGGACACAGAGCCTGTGTTCTAGACTAACGACACAGTGTGAAGGAGCTGAGTGTGAAGGAGGCTGGTGTGCTGGAGGAGCAAAAAGCTAGCCAATGTGACTGGATGTGAGTAATGAGAAGAATCATAGGCAATGGGGCTGGAAGGGCAGAAGAATCCACCCAAATGGATTCACCACTCTGCATAAAGATATTTTTCTCTAAGACCACACGAAACTTAAGACGCATGTGACTTCAGCATTAATGCAATCTTACAATTTTCTATTTACAGTTTATCAAAGAGTATCTTAATTTCTCAATCCACAAATTTAGCTATAATTCCGACTAATCCCAGTGCCTTGAATATTTCCTCAAGATATGGTTAACTTTAATCCAACTAGTCAGAAAAACTAAGCAGATATAAAATGTTTTACAGGATCATAGCAATTGAAAACATCTCCCAGGGCATATAATAAAGGGTGGTGGAAGAACCAGAGCTAGAATCTGGTTCACTCTGCTTTCTCTCTGATGATGTTAAAGCTAAAAATTATGCCCTACCAACTTATCCCTAGAATCTAAGGAGGAGAGGTTACTAGGAATTCTAGGAATCCCTCCAATCCTCTTGTCTATTTTACTATCCAAAACCTTTCTTTATCTCTAATATTCTCTTTTAAGTCCTTTTAAAATTAGAATTTGGAGTAAATGTGCTTTATATGCAAACAGTTGGCTGTTTCTGTGTGTAAATGCGGTTGAAAATGAAAGCTATAAAAACAAAACTAGAAAACCTTGAAACCTCAAACTCTGTGCATCCACTGGTCAAAAGTTTCTGTGGTTGTATCTTGGAAGATGGCAGGGAGCTGCTAGCAGAAAACAAATCTGGAAGAGGGATTATACTATTTCTTACTTCTCTAAGGCTCACTTATTTGATCAGACTGAGATTCCGCTCCCCTTTAATTCCCCATATACTACCTAGCTGAAGAGAATTAATGTGCAATCATGATTCTTTGCCCCCGTGTGTCCTACGCTGCCCCCTCCCCTAACCGGCAGCACAGCCACCCTATTCTGGACTCATGGCCATTAGTGGGTTTTCCTACCCTACCACAACTTAACCCATTACTTAATTCAGCATTTTCTTGGCATTAACTTAGCATGTAATTCTTTAGTCTACATCGTTTAATTCACCTGAGTTCAAAGAAAACCTGTGCAAACTCTGAGGTCAAAAGTTTGTGGACCACTGTTTTTCCCAGGAGGTCACTTTACTTGGGAGTGTGATGCCATTTTCTAACCATTTTCAGAGCTGAAAACATAATCTTGAATTAAAACACTTTGCATTTTAGGAGCTCAGTTCCTATGCTGGGTTCTGTTATTTTAAAGCTGGCTAAAAATTTCCTGGAGGTGACTGAGTTTTCTCGTTCCCCGGGGAAGCTGCTGTGAATGACTTTCCACAATGCCTTTTCTGAGAGTCGCCAAGTTCACTTTTTGCAACCTAAGTGTTATATGCTTAAATATATGCCAGGGGCATTCAAATTGAAGGAACCAATGAAAATTCTAAATGGAAAGCTTTTAAATGAATATAGAAACAGAGAGCTTAACTAAAGGAGGTAATAAAGTAAAAACAAAGCTTAGGGTTCCAATCTCACCCTAAGCAGTGGGACCCTAAGCAAGCTGCTCTGGATTCCCATTCTATCTCAGGGATTTCATGGCATTCTTTCAGAGACGAAATGAATTAACACGTGTAATTCATTTCTTGCCTTTGGCTTTCCTGATGTCTAACTAGCCAGCATGATAAGACAGGGAGTAACTCATGTTCTGTTCTTTTTGTTTTTTTTTTTTTTTTTAATGAACTAATGGAGATTCATTGATTTATGCAGTCAATTATAAGTGTGGGCAACAGCCAAATAGGCAAGTTACTTGAAGGAAAAAAAAAAAAATCCTCAGGTCACTGAAGCAGCAATTAGCAAGTATTGTGGGGAGAAGAGGAAAAAGGAGGAAAAAGGCCTGATGAGGCAAATTGCCTTTAATTATCCTTAAACATTTTCTCGTCTTCTTTTGATGCCATAAGACCCCCTGCAGTTCCAAAATAAAATAAGCCTGAGTTTTGTTTTGCTCTTTTAAATAGGAACATAATAGCCACTGTGGAAACATGTTCTTAATCAAAGGTATTAAACTCCTGGCTGCTCTCCTTCATTTGAAATTGCCTGGGTTCATTATTATCAAGGGGAAGAGAAGTCTAGTCACCATTTCGCTCCCTTCTTAGTAAATTAAAATATTAATTACAAAATACGTTATTTTTATCTTATATCTTAAGCTATTAGTTACTATGGCTGGATTAAAAAAAAAGGGGGGGGATTCATTTTGTGCCAAAGTAATTTCCCTAACAAAGCGTTCATACTTACTTTCTAGTTCCTGCACTTCAAATCAGTACATGAAATGCTGCATTTTTGAGAGCCATCTGAATAAATTCGATAGCAACTTCATTTATTTTCTGCCTCAGAGATAAGTGTGCAATTACAGTTGCCGTGTCCATGTGCTCATGGCCTGTGCCCACTCAGACAAGGCCACTGGCTGCAGCCAATGCCCGGCAGAGCTGAGAGGAAAGAAAGAGTATTTCCTTTTCATTTCCACCACACAATGCAGTAATCGATCTTATGCCCGTAGACACAAATGCTCAATCTCTAGGAAAGAGGCAAATAAAGCCACAGAATAGACATTAGAGCTAACTAAAACCCTCATTGTCTGCCTCTTCAAAGACTCAAATTACCAGCAAGGTACTGAGGTGACAGTAGAAAGTCTTAAGAAAACACAAGCCAAGGACCAGCATGCCCACTAAGCTTATGCAGATGACCTGGTCCTGTGGTGTCTCAAGTCATCACAAAATAAACCAAAGCTGCTCTCTCTTTTACCGGTGAGAGTTGCATGCAGTAATCATGCATGTGGAGTTTATTTGGCAAGGGTCTAAAAGCCACCCACCCCCTTGCAAAATATTCTCTCCTTTCCCTACTACCTGCACGGTACCTGAAATTAGATAATTTTTCCCTCTTACACTTGGAAGGATATTCAGTTTAAGAGGTCACTATTTAATTTTGGAAACACCTAGAGAGATAATACTTTACAGCCAATACCATTTATTAAGTGCCACTATGCACTAGTACTTTACATATATTATTTTCCTGAATCACTACAATAATCTTAAGATGTAGACATGTTTTATAGCACCTTGTTATGTGTGAAAACTGAGGCTTAGAAAGATTAAGTAACTTGAACAATTGGCAAGTGGTACAGTGAAGATCTAAATCCAGGTGTCTACATGTAAAGCCCTTGCTCTTGCTATGTCTGTTGGCTTCTATCTGATAGAAGATACATGTTGGGGTATGAGGCACAGAGGGCTGGGGCTTTGGGAAACAGAAGAGAGGATGGAAAAAGTGGAGAAGGGACACTGGCGAGAAGAGAATCAGCTCTAGACATGCCCTCAGAAGGGAGAAGCCCTCTTTGCCAGACTGTCAGATGGAAGCATTAATGCTTGCCTGCTCAGTCCTCCCACTAAACATCATCCAAACCAACCTTCTTTTCAGACCTTTTGTGCATGTGTCCCACTGAATTGCCCAAAACCCACAGTCCCTGTGAATGAGCGAAGCAGCTGTAATTCTTTCACATGCACTCTTCTGTGTCCTTGGTAGATTTCTGACATACGCCCCTTCCTCTCTGAAAGGGTCAGGCTCACTGGTCTCCACACATCAAAGCCACTGGGAGGCAGGAGAGTGTAGGGTAGTGGGGCTCTGCTGCCCATCAGTGTGCACCTTAGGCAAGTTACTTAAGCCTCTGTGCCTCAGACTGCTCATCTGAAAAATCGGATCGATAATCATGCCTCCTTCACGGAACTGCAGTGGCTAGCAGGTAGAAAATGTTGAATGGATGCTAGCGTATGCTGGTAGTCAGTAATAAACCATCAACTGATTTAACTAAGTAGGATAGCATTCCTCAAAGGTATACTGTAAAACAATTTCTGAACCAAGGAAGTTTAGATTCCTTGGCCACCTGACCCGCTCTTACAAACAAATGCACAATGTACCTTAGAATATAAAAAGAGTTCCCCAAACTGCAATCAAGAAACCTACTGTAACATATTTAACATGTTTATTCCATGAAGCACACCTGAGGGATTAGTGTTCCAAAGAATTCGCCATAGGAATTATGAATGGGGACAAAGAAATGTAAACACGAGTGCATTTAACTGTACCAGTTCTCTTGTATCTGTCACATATTCATACTTCAAAACCAAAACTTCTTTTTGTATTAAAAACTCAGCTGACCAGTTAGGAGACTGGTCTTGAACAAACTACTCATCTCAAGTCTCTCTACATACATGAGTCTGTCTTATTGAAGGTAGGGAATCAGCTTTAATCATCGTTGAATCTCCAACATGTATTTCAGAGCCCAAAACTCTGGCCTGAGAATGCTTGTAAAAGGAAAGATTGAAGTCTTGATTGGGAACTAGATGGAACAAAATGGTTCATCTACTATCACCAAGTTGATTCAATCCCACAGACTTTTGCAGAGCCAATGCAAATTCTTCTGCCAGCAAACACTGAAACTGCATTAGGAGTGCAAAAGGTTGACAGGCAGATATTGCCTCTGAAAGATAAAGGGGGAGGAAGCAGGCCGGGGCAGAGTCTCAGACTGCACTGCAAACCTGACACTCAGCCAACCTAACCTAATGGGAAACCTCAGAGCAAACACTGCGTTTATGCGTGTCCAGCAAACAGCATAAGTGGGCAAGCCCTAGGGCCCTCACCATGCTCAGTCAATGGCTGGGGGGGCTGCACAGAAGAGCTTGGCCTTGGCTCAAACGCTGCAGTGGAGGCAGATCCCTAAACCACTGCAAGAGCAAATCACCAGCTAACTACTCCTCATGGCTGTGGGGGAAGTTCTTTCTTGAGGTTAGATCCAGCAGTGCACCTCTAAGCTACCACAATGACTCTCTTCCACGTCTGTAACTTAAATCCAGAGATAAACAAGGCTAAAACTTTACACTAGACTATACTTTGATAAGAAAA